GGAGAAAATAAATCAGAAGGGAGACATATTGTAGCATTATATTATATGCAATGTGACACAGATTATCTTAATTAGTTCTAGGTGTGAGGCATCAGTACCAGTCAGTAGTTCATATTAATTTTCTTCTTCCTCCCCCACCCAATATACTTTTCTATATAAAAGCTATGAAGGAAATACGCAATGATGCTGAGTACCATTTTTTGCCCATGCTGGGAAGAAAACCAGGAGAGGGATATTATCTGTAGGTATGCACCATGAAAAGAGTTAGAGAACTCTCATTATGCCATGAAATTAGGAAAGACAAGGTAACTGCTCTTGAACTCATCTGACTGAACAGTTACTTGACACATACACACACTAGCCTATAAGCTAATAAATCTGCTTGCACTCAGAGCATTTTAAACATCACAATAAGCAAGTTAACAAAGAAAGGAATATACAAAAATAGTGGATTCACATTTATATAAGCTACTACAATTATCTTGTAGAACTTCACCTTTTTAACTCTTTCAGACTGACTGTAATGCCTGTTAACCAAGTCCAGGTAGCCTTCGTTGACAGCATACATGTGGGTTTCTTTCGTCCCAGAGAAGTAAGCAGTAGATCTCCTCTCCTTCCATCAAATGAAAAGGGATGGATCTAGACCTCATTAACAATACGTTAGAATCTGCACTGAGTTCTGTAACACAAATTTATTGAAAGCAATGCTTAATCACATGGACTGTAGCTATAGTCAACCTAAAATTATCCATAAGCATTTGTATGTCACAGATCCACCGCATGGAGACAGACTTTGAAACAAGCACTAAAGCCACTCAGATCCAGTCCATTTTATTAAAGCAAATTAATTTGCCTCTATACATGGTCAACCTGTTTCAAATGTCCACTTTGTTCCAGGGACAGTTCTGTTACTTTATTTACTTCTACAAACTGAAAATTTTCTTCCCTTTTCAGATTTAGGAGCATACTAAAACTCAGGTTTTTGTACTGCTTTTCTATTAACAGGGACACTAGGAAGCAAAGCACTAAACATCTGCTTGGACACTACAAGAGGAAAAAAAGCCCAGAAACAAAACCCAAAAAACATGTAGTCACAGAAAAAAAATCTTCCTGTGCATTCTTTTTCATATAACAATCACATAGGCAGCTTTTTGGCACATCCTTACTTCTGAGTAAGATTGATTTCCTTCCTTTGAGTGGATTTGTAACTTCAGCACTATTTTAATCTAGGAAATAAATTTCTATACTACTTCCTGTACTTTTATCATCTAAAGGCATATGGTATGAAGGGAAAAAAAAAATCATGATCATGCTGTATGCCAGTTAACTAAAACCTGGTAATATTCTAGTGCTGATCTTCAGAGAAAAATATAAAACTGATAATGCTGTGCAAATTTGTTAACCATCCATAGAAGCTGTGGTCTTTGTATTAATGGCCTGCTACATTTTCCCTGTACTATTATAAAATCTCTCTTCAAGGTCAACTGAACTATAGTTTTCCCTATAAGTAGAGATCAAATGGTTCCCTACGGTGGAGACAGCAGCTCTTTAGATAGTAATGCTTTCTTCACGTTTGTTTTTCCTGCAGGAAATCATAAGATGCATTACTGACAGACACACTTACTTGATTTAAAGTAAGATCCTGCTCTGAAGAGTGACTCCATAAAAGACTATGTTTATCGCCTCTCAGTGACACTATAACAGATAATTGTTTGAGAAGGAAAAGATTATCTTTTCTGGAATGATATCTTCCAAACTCCTCCTAGACTGACTTTTCCCTTTCACTGATCATTACCAGCAATAAAGATACTGTAGAAGAAATTATGCCCTCAGAGACACCCACACAACCCCATTCCTCTGAGCAGGATACGCTAGGTACACACTGCTGATTAATCGCAGCTGTCACCCCTCCACCCAACATACTTAAAGGCAGTCTGCATTATTCCCTGGTATTTGATAAATTACAGTGTAACGGAGCATCTTTGGTCTTGGTACTAACAGCACTGAACGAACTTGTCTTTAACATTATGCAAATACAACTAAAGACTTCTTTGAAGTTTCATCAAATAAAGTAGAAAATACCAATGTGATAGTGACAGCTCCTGTCACTAGTGTGCCCCTGCCACACTTTTTTTTTTTTTTTGGTATTCTTCAAATACCTGTATCAACAACACAAAGAGCTGGACAGATTTTGGAGAAAAGGTCACTGTGTTTCAGAGATACCAAATCATTTTATAACAAAAACTGCATACATCCTATGCTAATAGCCCCTGTAAGGCGAGGCTGGAAAGTGCACTGCCCAGTGATGTGCTCCAGGGCACCACAAGGACTGACAGAAGGAAAAAAAAAGAGGGGGGGGCGGGGGGGAAGAGAGAGAGACTCCCTGCCTCCTTAACAGCAAGCAAACAAACCACAAAAAGATAGCCTGCTGAGAAAAGTTTTGAAATTTAAAAAAAAAATGCATAGCTTAAAATTAATTAACTTTCAAAGGCATTAGGAATATTAACCAATTCAAATATGTACTAAAAGACCCAAGAGAAAAAATATTTGAAGTTAAATTTCAGTTCAAAAAACTAAACTTCATTTAAGCATTGGTATTGCCACCTCAATTTTCTGCACCAAATTTGTCCCAAGGAAAGATTCTCAGAGACAAATTTGAAAAAGGGAAAAAAGTAAGCTATGCTTGATCAGATGAGATTTCCAAGTGGTTACTGCAACAACACTATAGATAAAAATTTTTTTAAAAGCCCTTTCAACTAGTGCTTCAGGAAGGCAATTAGTATCCATGCAGTATGGAAAATTTTGTAAACTGACAAATTCCTTTTTAGTCATCCTGTATTTTGGACACTTGCTACTTTCACTTTACTGATACTTGTATTGACACTTGACTCCCCAGGCCATTCAAAGCTTTACTGCAAAACCCATGAATTTAAATAGGTGGTGTAGCCCTACAATCAAGAGACTCTTGCCCTATTGAAATAAAGCATAAACCACCGTTCTTCCACTGCCGGTGGGTTTTTACTTAAAAAAAGGTGGTGGTCTATTTTTCAACAGGGTTTAGAATTCCCTCAGAAGTCGTGATCTCTATTTACAGTTGTGCCTTTCTTGATAAGAATCATTACATTTTCCCTCCCCTCAGTTGTCAGTGCTCAGGCCTCTCCATAATATCAAGTATCTAGATTGTTGAAATGACCCTGTTCCAACCATCACGTCATACGAGAAAATGGTTTAACGATACAAATTACCTTTCAAAATCTACACAGAAGCAAAGAACCGATACAAAAATTCCCAATGCAAACTATTTCCCTTGAAAGTAGACTTCCAAACAAACACGTGTTTACTAACAGAACCAGAGGAGATTGCTTGGAGATCTTCACAAGAGCGTGTGATTTATAGGCAGACTAGGAGCTGAAAAATCAGGTGTTTCACAAGGTTAACAACTTTGCCGTTACACACAGCAACACTGTAAAAGCAAGAGATGGGGTTCTTATTTGTCCTTCCACCACCCTCCCTAAGTAATCTGTTCAGATAAATTGTCATGGCAACTTGATTTATACACCAAGGATACTAGCAAAGACACCTCAATTCCCCTTGGAGATGTGAATAGAAAAGGTCCTGCCCATTCTGATGCTGGCAGAGACTAAAGCTAAATGCCCTTCCCTGTTACAGGCTCACCGTGTACTCCCAGAGCAACCTCTCCCCGCAGTGTTACTCCCTGCCAGACACTCTTGCTCAGATTGCAGCCATCAGCCTTCAGTTTATGTCAAAGGCAAGATTGCATCATTTGGAAAAAAAGTCCTACCTTGTGTACTTTACCAGCTTTCACTAAATGCGAGTTGAGTTCAAAAACAAATCACAACTTTCTGAAATTAAGAATTCTTTAAGGATTAATAGTATTTTCCTTATTGAGGAAGCACATACAGTTACCGATTGTAAATCGAGTGTTTCAGTAAAAACTACAGCTTCTTTTTGGGTGACAGCAGTACAGACTGTATTTCTGTCAGATCTCTTCACAGTCTCTTCAGAAGAGTGAAAACCACAGAACAAATTCAATTTTTTTTCCTTCACCTGCAATCACAACATTTCATGTAACTTTTTTTTCTTTTTATATGTATATATATATGAAGACAAGCAGTAATTTTGCAATATATTCAGTGTATCCTCCTTTGGTAAAACAGAAATAATTTAAGAGGATTTAAGAGAATTATATTCATGTATGTTGCACATAAGTTCTCTTGACACAGACAGTAGCATAAACACTTCCACTCCATCAACTGAAGTCCTAATACGACAGTCACACAAACTATCCTTTATTGCCTACAAATGCTCTTAGCACCACTGATCAGAGCACCCAGCCTGCGCCTCTAACATCCCTCTCACCAAATCCTGTACCTAGCGTGTGCAGCGGAGTGCACTCTTTCAAAGGGACACTGGACTTGCTGTGTGTACTGAACATGATGGATATTCTCCTATGACTTTCAGTGGGATGACTGACCCTCACATTAATGACAAACACAGCTACCCTGAAGAACATGTAAACATATACCGAAAGAGGGAAGATATAATTCTTCCACGAATTTTTAAGAATGCTTTCTTTGTAATAGAAAATCCTTTGCAAATTCAAACTTGGCCCTAGAAGTGCAGTAGGCAATACACAATTTAAAAAAAATGAACACATACCACAGCAGATAAATAGGCATTTATTAAAGTTCATCTCAAAAGAAACAAAAATAATAAAGGACATTAAGGCATCTTGTATTCAGTAACCGTTCATATAGTAAAGATGACTTCTCTTTCTGATACAAGAGAGCAGATTAGGAAAAGAAAAAATTTCTCCCAACACATTTGGCAGAATGCTGACTTCTTCCCACTGTCCCACCACTCAGTCAGCAAACCCCTCCATGGAATGCCCATTTCTCCAATGGAAGAGCTACAAAATCTCAACACTCATTGAGACACGTGCAAGAAAGCACTTTTCCCGCCCCTCAGGCATCCAAGCTTCTGCAAAGATGCATGCTGGAGAAAGACTAAGAGATGGATACCCCAGAGAATAAAGACGTACTCCTGCTGTAACCACTCATTTTTGAGCAGACTAGAAATGTTTGGCCTTGCTTTCGCTAGTATTTACTATTTCAGCCAGTAACTAGTGAAAACGGGACCACAAGCTCTAGTCTGTATTGCAATGTAACAATTTTTATGTTCTCCTTCTACATTCATATTAGATAAACAAATGACAAAGGTCTTGTTTCCATGGAATAATTTATTTTGAATTATGCTGTCAAGTGACCAATCACTGTTATAGTGCTTTTTTCTTCAATTGGAGTAAGAACATCAGGAAATGTTTACAGTATCATTAGGTTCACTATAACAGGATTTTACTACAGAGTGAAATATAAATTAATAAACACTGCATATAGCACTATTCACTTCACCACATTGGCTCTCTATATCCTTTGTCACATTCTAACCTTCATTTAAGGCAAGTTTGTTTTTTTTTCCAAAGAAGACCACATAGTCTCTAGATAAACTTGTGTGACTAGGTTTGCAAGTTAGGAAATTGAGCTTTATAAAATGTTTACTTCAACAAATACGAAAGTTATTAAGAGAAAGATGGTGACCCAAAATTGCACTGTATTAAAAGGTGGAGTTTCCTTGTACCAAAGTCCTTTATTCATCATCTTTAGAACCAGTTTTGCTTAACTATAAAAGAGACACAAAAAGAAAGTATTCAAAGTTTAGACTGCCATTCCATTTATTAGGAAACAACATTATCTCCATCTTACATAGAACATGTGTATATTTAATTAATAATACAGACTGATTGTGCTACTGTACCAAGAGACTGAAAACCATAAAAAATTATTTCTTAAGCTTAAACAATAAATACACTTATTTCCTGAACATGAAAGTCAATTTTAAAAAAACAACAACACAAAACCCCAGAAAAACCTCAGGGTACTGTTTCTATTTAATTTGAAGACTCCGTCACCAGTTCTCCAAAATAAAAAAGATGAAATAATGGAAAAAGTATTTCCACACATCTCGGAGAGAATTCCCATATAGGAATTTACACAATATAAAATGAGACATTAACTTACTATTTCTCTCTTTTTTAAAGCTTTCATGAAATCTATCTAGAATCCAAGACATCCACTACAAATACCCACTTTTAATTCAGAAGGACTCTGCCCAAAACCACCATCATCATTTACCTGCTCTTATTTAACAGTTGGAACCGGTGTTATGTCTTACACCGAGAATTTCTTATAGTTGTGTAAAATAAAATAGTTTGCTTTCAAAACTGTCAAGCAGCTATACTGATTTCCACTGAACCAGGAAAGACAAGAGGGTTGAAGAAATCAATGCTGAGGGAGCAAGTAGAAAAGAATTATTCACTGTAGGAGTTGCGGCAGAGAATGCTCAGGCTTGTAGGAGACAGCAAGGTGCTCCCACTTGGGACAGCTCCCTTTTTCTGCTTACTTATCCATTGCCCTCCAGAACCTGGCAGCACCGCTAACTTTATTTTACATCTTGTTGCCATATGAAGACAGAATATTTGCAGTGCATTTGGCTAGCAAAGCTCTCTCATCATAAAATTAAAATTCAATTGCTCAATAAATAAAAAAGAAATACTAAACCCACAAAGTTCAAAGAGGAATCAAAGTCCTTCTGACTCTAATATTCAGAAGAACTAAGCACTTTAAAGCATTTGAGAAACATGTAAATTAGAATCCAACAGAGCAGCAGTTCTTACTATTTCTTGCAAATCTTTTTAATGTTAGAAGAAGATAACTTGAAAATACTTACATGCTGGACACATAGAAATGAATCAGACACCACAGTCAAATCCAAACAAAGTTAGGAAGAAAAGCAAGAAAAAAAATCATATTAGTTTTCTTCAGATATAAATACAAATTGGTTTCAATGTACATATGCAGTATTTTCATAATACTGCATATAATACAGTCATGTTACCTTAATTACGTCCACCCAGTTCCATCCTCGCGGAAGCTCCCCTTTGTTATCTGCAGAATAAGAAGGTTTTCTTTTCAACACCCAAGCTAAAGGGAATCTTTATCTTCTTTAAAATCAACACACAAAATTCTAAAGATCCAAAAACTTTAATTTCTCCACTACAAAGCCATGAGGACAAAAATAGATATTAATGTCTTAAACACATCTTGCTCTTCAAAGTAATTCTGTTTAAATAAAAACACTTCAGTCCATCTCACATTTAATTTAGAAGGCAACTCCAACATGAGCTGGGCTGACCAGCAATGATGCATTTTGTCAAAGAACAGAATTTTACGCAGCTTTTCCTTTATACGGCCAACATTTAATATGCCAGTTATACAATAGGTTAGGTAAACTATACGCAGAAATTGCTATCACAGGGTACAACTTATTGCTGCAATAGGATAGCATTATCCAGGTGGAACACATAAAAGTAATCAGCAGGATTAGTTGAAATATTGAATGCTTTTCAATCAAAACCCTACCATTTCATTGAAAGCATAAAGTATCTGCAGAAGCACCTCTATTTTGAGGATACAAACTAAATTAAATGTTTTATTTTGGGTTCCAAAACAAATACTTTCATTCAGAAATTACATTTTTAATAACGTGAATTATTTATGAGGGCCCATCAGCAAACCACATCTTCTGTTGAAAGTGAATTTTTAGAAGTTCCAAATGCTCTCCTCCCACAAATATTTTTTGAAAATTTCACTTTTGTCACAAATTGAAATAAAAAAGTAAAACAATCTTGACATCTTGAAATCCCTACTCTAAAGAAAGTTGCTTTGACCAGAACTAACATCTCAGGCAAGAATAATTCATCTAAAACAAGCAAAACAGAGACCACAGACTTGAAGTAGTTAATCTTATAAACAAATGACTACTGATTCTGACTCCAGCAAGATGCCACTGCTATAAAGTTTGGATTCTCATATTGTTCAAACAAAACAATATTATAGTGAACAAACCTGTTTTATCGGCTAGTTTCCGTTTCTGGGTTTTGGATAACTGCTCCTTTTTATCTTTTTTCTTACTTGCTGGCACATGAGGAGTTCCAATTGCAATACTATTGCTTACTGAAGTCTGAGAAGGATAAAAATGGTTGTTAGTATTTTGCATGTTAGCTCCACAGATACCTCTGTGTGTGATTACTGAACCTGACATACTGAAATATCTTGACTGTCAGAAAGAAGCAATGCTGTCAGCAGTCTGCAGCTTTTAATCAACATATAATCATGATTGTAGTTTTAAGAACCATGTGCTGGGGATTGGAGTTATTCCCTTTCAGAGTTGCAAAGGGCACCTCTTACACTTTTTAAATTAAATCATAGAGTGTGATTTGCCTGAAGGGATTCAGACTTCCCGAACATAGAAACCATTCCTTCTTCCTCAAAGCAAATCTGCAGCACCACAATGGCCAATAACGTCCTTACACAACACAGAAGCCACAAATAGACCCAGCCTGACTCATTCAAGACCCTGGAGGTGCACTTGTGCAATCCATTGCATCCCAGGAAGATTGCAGTAATTAGCCCCCACCCACAGAGCAGACGCCTTTAGTCTCCGTTTCAGCTCTCCAGTTTTGCTTCTGCTCCAAGTCTCCATTTTTATGTTACTCTGTGGGACAGAACTGCAGCCCGCAAATATTTTGGTGTAACAGCAAAATAACAATTAAATATAACAATTAAGACCACAGAGCATTGTGACACCATACTCTGTGTGTCACTGTTTAGCCACTAACATGTGTATACCCAATATACTGATTAACAACTTAAAGACAGAGCTATGAAGTATTTAGAGTTGTAATTACCATTTTTTGCAGTTTTAAAAGCAAGAGATTAAAATCTGGATTTATCTACTTACCACAGTGTTAACAGGCTGATTTTCCATGAACAACTCTTTATTATCTTTGGCATATTCAAAAAGTGTGTATGTCATAGCAGTTCCAAGATTTGCTTCAACTTCTACCATTAACTTATCCAATATATTTTGTTTAATAGCTGAAGATCTAAAAGAAACCATAAAACTCAACTATAATCTAGACAGATGAAGAAAAGCTTGTCAACCAAAAAGCCCCCACATATAAGGCGAAGAAGTGAAGCTGTCATAAATACTTACATTGTGTTGTTGAAGAAAGCATCCATCGATATGACTGGTGCTGTTTGTGGATATGTTTTCGGCCAAGAAATTTCTATTAGAAAGGCTTTGGGATCTCCACTTTCACCTATCTGAAAGGAAAAAAAAAAATTTATAAATCAACAGTTTCCAGTCACTTATTAAGGATTACAATGCCAATATGCAAGTCTTTCACTTCTTTAAGACTACCCAAATTCCTTAAGATAACAACTATTTTCATAAAGTTATCAGTTAGAAAATAAAGCTGCTATCTAGAAAAAGTATTAAGTTTATGACACCAATATTAACCTCTATCCTGCAGTTTTCATCCTAGGAAAAGCAGCAGAAGCATTCAAAGCTCTCTCTATGTTGTTTTTTTTTTTTTAATCGCTGGGTTTTAAAAGCTACTTTGTAGCATCTGCAAACCAAATACTGTACAATCATGTATGAGAACAAAAAAGAAGCCTTCTTTTTTCCCCCCACGCATCCAAGCTCAGAGCAATATGAAAACAAACCACAAGACAGCGTTGAAATAAAGACGACAATAAACTAGTGTCCTAAGATAGCAAAAATAATAGATAAGAATTTCAATATTTACGTCTCACCCATACAGATATTTTATTTCACTATAAGAAGGAATGAGTATTAAAAGATTTAACAAGTCAGTAGAATGAGACTGGATAAAAAAGGCGTAACATTAGAAAAAGGCACACTTTAATATAAATAATCATGCACATCGAACCAATTTAGTGAACCCAAATTAAATATACAATCCTTACAACTATGTTAAATTAAATTAAAAAAAAAACTTTTTTTTAAATTTAAAACTAGTACAGGTGCTAGTACAAAGGCATACTATACAAACAGTAATAACTGTTTCACACAAGGATTTGGAAGACTAGTGCAACGAAGTTGACTAAATCCGAAAATTCTCCCTTATTTCCCTCATTTTAGAATAGGCAAAATCTGGCTTCATCAAATTATGTGGAATGAAGTGTAGCCAGAAATCAAGGTAAGGCTACTGTACTCCAAAATTTAAAAAAAAAAAAGAAAGAAAAGAAAAAAGTTGGTGCTTTTTTATTTACAGTGTCTGTTTCAGCAGAGTGGACTAACTGACATTCAGAACCATCTGTTTTAGAGGAGAAATAAAGACTAAATAAATAAATCAATCAGGAATCTGCAACATTTATCAAGACATCATCTACAGTGTTGCAGTCCACTTCCCACCGCTGCCAAGAAGAGAACTGCTGGTACGGTTTACAGAGTTGTTCTCTCAGGAAAGCACTGTCTGCACACTGAGCAAATCCATACAGAAAGCTGTATGACCATGCTCCTCCTTGCCAGTGCAACCTAAAAATTGGGTAGCCTTACTTGATTACCATACAGCTGTGTTTTGTACGTGAGACATGTGCGAGACAAATGAGGCTCAGAAAAATGGCATACTAATTCTTTCGACCTTCTCATGCACTTACTTGCAATATGCCTTCTCATAATACAAATTCTTCTTCAAGGGAAAGATGCATGATTGCCTTTGTCTGACACTAAGTTTTACAGTATTTAAAATGAGTTCTAACTTTCGACAATTATTTTTTGTCTAATAAAAATTAGCAACGACCAAAGCTAGTAAAATGTAGAATGATACATTGTAGACTTGTAGCCATCTCACATTTGCTCTTTTGAGGAAATTAAATTTACTAATAACAGTCTTATCAGTGAAGGAAGGCTGCACTTACATGGATGGGATTCAAGTGCCATTAATTAAATAGACTTACCTCATTGCAATTACTGATGTTATTCTGAAGTTACTTGAGAAGTCATGAAAAGATTATTTTAGATGCCTCCTCCCCACTACAGGGATATGACATTTTCAGAAGTCTCCCTTCTGTCCCATGGGTGCCTAAGATTTCATCAGTAAAGTTCTCTGGCCGTCCAAAGATCTGCCTCAGTCCATGACTAGAAGAACTTCCGGGTCTTTAAATACGAGAAATCTGGCAAGAATTTCATGCCAGAATCTAATTGCGTATCTCAAGCTCAACACTCCCTGTATGTCTCTCCTGAGCAGATCGTATCAGCACACATGCCCAAAGCATTTTGTGGATTTTCTCTTTAGTAGGTAGACAAGGCATGTCAACTACCTCTGGACAAGACACTAGAACCTTGTAACTGAGCAATAGGGAAGGTTGAGAGCTTTACATATAAATGTCTCTATAAGTGACATTTCTGACCAGCTAGTTTAAGTATTACTCAGCACGCTGCCTCCTTCCGCCAGTTTGACAGTTCTAGCTATGCAGTACGTAAAGGTGTAAGCAGGATGCCTAGCTAAGGCAGCAGGTTCCTAAATATTACGCATTCTGCTATCAAGCATCATCGTACCAAAGATCCTGAAACAACAGCCTGCGGATCTAGCCTTTACTGCCCATCGAATACCCATTTGTTTTAGAAAAAAAACTGGTATGTCAACTACAACGCAGCAGAGCAACTTCACGGCGAAACCTGCGCTGCAGCGACCCGCGGACCTTCACCTTGCCTTACCCTGTACTGGAAGGAAACCGGGCTAAGCTCCCTGAAGCACAGATCTCCCTCGTAGATAGAGCGCAGCGCTTCCAGCTCCATCTGCAGCACACAGCAGAGAAGGGGGTTACCGATTTCAGCCCGAACACGAAGCTCGCACCCAGCTGCGGTTGGTTTGCGAAGCTGTGCACGGCCCCTCCGGTTTCCCGCCATC